GAGGGAGTAGGAGGAAGGGGTGTAGGGGGAATATGAGTAGGAGGAGGATTGATATCAGTAGTATCAGGAGGATGGATAGTGGTAGTAGGCGGAATTGAGGGGGTTATGTTGTGTTTAGAGGGAGTAGGAGGGAGGGGAGTAGGGGGAATATGAGCAGGAGGGGGATGGATATCAATAGTCACTTTGTGTCTCATGCATATAACTTTGGATATCTTCCATAGTTTCTGCAGTGGAGTTGGTTGGAGAGTTTTGAGACAAAGGTTTTCTTGTGAGGAGGGAAGAGGAGACTGGTGTCTGAGGAATAAAGGCAAAGGTAGGTGGAGGTGAGTGTGCAGTAGGGGAAGAAGGGGGGGAACATTTAGTCTGTCTGCTGCAGGTAGTACAGGAGGGAGAGGGGACGGTGCTGGGGCTGTAATTGAGATTGGAGTGTCTAGGTTTAGAGTAACAAAAGAATTTGACTGGGGGAGATAGAATGTAGAAGTGGAAGTGGGGAAGTAAATAGGTATAGGGGAAGGTGTAGGAACATCTTGAAGTGGAGGGGGAGGGGCAGAGGGACTGACTTTACTAGAGGAGGGAGTATAAGAAAAACTTGTCGGTGTGCTTCCTGTCTGGCTTCATGTAGAATGAGGCCATTTTTGTATCTGAAAGTTGCTACCTCAGACTCGAACTTGTAAGTGGGACAGCCTCTATAAAATACATTATGGGGGCCGCTGCACTTAGCACATGTTCATGTTTGTGTAGGGTAGTTTGATCGTTTATGACCGGGTTGGGCACATATGGGGAATCAGTCTGTGGAACGGCAGTGTTGTCCAAAGCACCAACAGTTTTGACATTGATGGGGAGGAGGTATGGTATGGTCGAACAGGGAGGGAGTCCACCTATGAAGATACAAAAGGGAAGGTCACGTGTATTAAAAGTAATTTTGGCAGATGACCTCTAGGATGAATGGAGTAACAATGTACTGATTTCACATCTTGGTCTTTGAGGCAGCCGAGTAAGTCTTCTCCACAATCTGACCAATCTTTGGTATCAACTGGGCAATTTGCTGGGGAGATAGACAGTTCCGGTACAAGTATGAAGAGTTGGATGAGGTTCTGCAGGGATGGGATTGCCAGAGAGATCAGTTAGATTTGATAATGCTATAGCTTCAGTTTCAGATGTGACTGTTACGAGACGGGAGCGATCGCGTTGGATACGGAAAGGGACTCTGCCCACTTGTTTTTGGAGGCATTTTTGAAAGAGAATTCTTGCCTGAGTAAGAAGCTGTAGAAGGGATCACGAAAAATCGATCCCATTTAGCTGGGCTAAATAGAGTATTTAAAATATTTGTAGGGTTGGTGGTGGTAGACGGTCGGGGATGTGTGGAAGAGGGAGTGTTGTTGAGGGGGGTAGTACTATGGAGAGATGGAGAATGAAGTTGTAGGGTAGTACTAAGGGAGGATGGGGTGTTTGATGAAGAAGGTTGTGGGGCTAGAGGTGATGAAGTTGAGGAAGTTGGGAGAGTAGGAATGTCTCTGGAGATTGAGTCTCGGTTTGGGTGGGTAACACACTAGAAGGCATTGAGGAATGGGTAGTAGTTGTAGTGTTCAGTTGTGGTCAAAGGAAGGCCTGGGGTCAGGGAGCTGGGAGAGTTTGAATTGGTGGGCCTATTTGATAAAGGGGCAAGCCTCATTGCCCCTAATAAGGGTATTACGTCTTCATTACTGGCCATGGGAAGACTTGACTATATTAGGGAAATAAACAGTCCAATCCTCAGTGTCTCCTTGAGAGGTAAAGGCTAAACTAAATCAGGGGAATACCGTGCCCATGGTTCCCACAGGCCATTCAGGACTGGTACAAGGTCAGCCTTTCATCCTTCCAGCACTGCTCTTACACCTTAGGAAATATATAGTAGAAGGGATTGGAGAAGAAACAGAAACAAAAGAGTAGGAGGGAGAAAAGAACATGCAAAATTAGTTGAGTCGAGGGCTGAGGCCCAAGGCAAGGGAGATCCCTGCTTTGGGTTTAAGCCATCCCACGATAACATCGGGCAAGGGATTGGGGGTGGGGAGGGGGAGATGCAGACACCTTGTGGAGATGGGAGGGGTGCAGACTGAAGGACTGTTTTGGAATAGGTAGAGAGAGAAAAACCTTGTCGTTGTGCTTCCTGTCTAGCTTCACGTAGAGTGAGACCTAGTTTGAATCTGAGAACTGCTACCCTGAGCTAATATGCAGGGCAGCTAATATAAAGTACATTATGGGAGTCATCACAGTTGGCACATGTACGTGATTGACCAGGGCAATTTGAACGATCCTGACCAGGTTGGGTTGGGTGGCCAAAATACCAACGTTTCTGACATTGACAGGGAATGGCTCAATCTGGTTGGACATGGCAGGGCAATCTACCAAATAAACTTCTTGTGAGAGGTCATGTCTACGGAAGCTAATCATGGTAATACTGATATGGGACTTACGCTGGCCTCTGAGAGGAACAGTGTAGCACTGTACTGCTACTGGATCATAATCAGCAAGGCAGTTAAGTTGGTAACTTTCACAGTCTGACCAGTTCTTGTCATACATGAGACAATCAGTTGGGGGATAGACACAGTTCCAGTACAAGTATTAAGAAAGAGGTGAGGTTTGGCAGGAATGGGTTTGCAAGTAAGATCAGCTAGATAGATAGTGGATGAGCTTGGAATTCTGATGTAACTGTGACAAGGCGTGAATGATCACAGTGACTGCAAAAGGTAACTTTGCCTACTTGTTTTTGAAGGCACTGTTGAAAGAGAAGGGTATTCTCAGAGTGGGGCTGTGGGGGGAATCGCAAAGAATTGATACCACTTGGCTGGGCCAAAGAGAGTACTCATAAGGTTTGCAGAGGTTGAGGCAGTAGAAAGACGAGGGCGGGAGGAAGATGGGTTGGTGTGGAGTGGAGTAGTTCTGTGGGGGGGAAGACAATAAGAATAATAAGGGAAGACTGTGCAGTTGGAGATGGAGAAGAAAATGTTGGGAGAGAGAAAGGGGTATTAGTATCAGTGGTTGAAGCCGTGGTCAAAGGAGGGGCAGGGGTCAGAAAACCATCTAAATCAAATTCAGATAGGCTAGTTGATGAAAGGATAAGCCTTAATGCCCCTATTAAGGATAAAGAATCTTCATTATTGGCCATGGTGAGCTGAATAAAATTGGGAAAAGAAATGGCCTACCCCTCAAAGTCCCCATACGGAGTAATGAGCCCATGACTCCTAGAGGCCATTCATGACTGACATGAAGCCAGCCTTTCATCCTTTCAAGCACAGCTCTCACACCTTAGGAATGGGACAGAAGAAGGAGATAAAGATACAGAAGAAAAAAGGAGAAGAAAAGACCAAGTAAAATTAGTTAAGGTGAGGGCTGAAGTCCAAGGTAGGAGCAATCCCTACATTGGGCTCCAGTCTCCGTCTCCTAAGCCCTCCCACAGCAACAACGAGCAAGGTATTGGGAGGGAACAAAACAATAAGCAATCTATAAATTTCATGGGAAGAACAATGGGAGATACCTTTAATAAGTACAAATACTTTATGACATATGTACTAATATCTACACAATGCAGTTATATGAATGAAGACAAGCAATTTATCCATTTATTACTCATAATCAAGAAACTGGAAGAAAAGAGCTATTGAATTGAAAATTCATTCATATAAATGTTAAAAAGCTTGTTCTTTGATTTTTACTTGAAGATGTTTTAAACAAGTGATTATTTTTCTGTAGGGTTTATTCAAATAATCTGGGACATGTTCTCTTGTCCATGTGTTTGATTTTTGTTAACATATTATTAAAAAATGAAAAAGAATATTTCCTTTTGTTGATAAAATTTAGTATCTCCTTTATCCTTAAATAAGCTATAAATTTAAAGGGGGTGTGAGGACAGAGTAAAATTTTCTTAGGGATGCAGGCATAAAAAAGGTTGGTCTAGGAACTGTTACGATATGAGCAACTAAGTTATGCTTATGTGATGAGGTTGACTGATATTTTGCACCAATTCTAAAGTTCTTACATGTTAAAGGAATGAAGACTGAGGTTATGGACTGAGTATGTAAAGAGCCTTATAATTCCTTTTCCTTTTTTAGAAAGTGGAGCTGGATAGGTACACATTTCTTCCCATTCCAACAGAAACTGCAAGATAAAATACATAAACATTTTGGATAAACTACAACTTCAAAATATTTATGTATCTATTGAAAATTTTCTGCTGCATCAACATCTAAAGTCATCAGCAGTATATTCAAAATAGAGCAATTGGGTGGGGCTTGGGGGTAGAGCCATCATAAGTTAATAATTGGGATAAATATATTATGTTTGTAGTCTGTAGGAATGGAAGTAAGGTGAATGAGAAAAAGTAAACGGAGTATGAAAGCCTTTCATCTTCTCAGCATGGCTCTCACACCTTTGGAAGTGGACAGAAGATGGGGATGAAGAAGACAAGGTAAAGGAAAGGGGTGAAAAAAAAAAATTACTGAGGTGAGGACTGAGGTGATGCTCTACAGTGATGGAAACAGACTAAGAGATAAAGTGGTAAAGGAGGTTGCTAACTAATACAGATGCTGCTAAATGGCAATATTTGTATATCTACTACCTCATAGTAGTAGATTATGAATTACTGAGGCATCAGAGTGGCACCTACTATGGTGTCAATGTTCAGTACATTTTGCTCTTTTATATTTCATTATATTCATTTTTAAAAAAGCAACTATCATATATGTGAAAATAAAGAAGATTCAAATTATAGAACTTATCTATTTCACATACAAGGTATTCAGAATAGGCTGGTACCCACAAAATCTATTTGAAACTTGTAGGTAACATTTTATCACAAACCGTTTTGATTATTTATCTTTTATTGTTACTTTTTGATATCACTTACTTCTTTTTTTTTTACTTACATGAGCACTGTACATGAATCAATCACTTGCATTCATTATCCAGGAATGTCTGACTTGTAACAAAGGTCTTTCTAAAAAAATAAATAATAAAAAAAATAAAAAAATGAAAACTTGTTTGTTATTGCCTTCTCACCATGCATTACATACCATATTCACATAAAATCATTTTTGCATGTGCAGTACAATAATCAAAGTAAAATATCCAGTAAAATATCAGAAAATATAATTCATTCTTTCTTTATCTCAATATCAATAGTCAATATACACTCTTGCATACAAAAAATAAATCAAAATAAATGGAAGTTTATCAGCAAATTACATAGACAAACTTGGTCTGGCAGATATGGTGAGCTGGTGTTACAGTATAGCTATAACAACCTAACAATGGTTAAACCAAACAAGGTGTGACCAGGCACGGTGAAGTGTTTATAGTTGTTAGTTGTATCTGAGCAAGAAAATTAAGAGATAAGATGAATATGGAATATCAAAGACTACATCACAGCTACCAAATAAAACCAAATCCCAAGCAGCACAGCCCTTCACCTTGAGTCCAGAAAAAAACAAGAACATATTGGTACAATAATGGAATGCAAACTATGTAGAGCATTTAAATATTAATATATATGCAGGATTAAGGCATTTTCCAAACTTCCAATTCACAGTACCCTGGCAAAGCTGGTCAAATTTCAACGCAATACTGAATTAAAATACAGCATAACAAAGTATTTGTTTAGAAGGTTAGCAGATCTTCTGACATAAATGTCTACCCTTTACTTTGAAATCTTAATTCGTTCATTCATACTTACCACTGGAATTTCTTAATATTGTCAGTATTCATAAACAATTTTGTTTTTCAATCTAACCATTTATGTTACAATCTAACTCTGTAATTGTAAATTTCTGATAGGTCCACAAATATCCCATGAGTTAATTAAGTATAGACTTTCTCTTGCAGCATTTGCTCATAGTACAGAACAAAAACTATCGACTTGAATGGAAAATGTTTTTTTCAAAAGTATAATCAAGCATAATGAGTTTCATCCACATTGGATGTCATAGTATTTAGAAACTACTAAACACATTTAATATCAACCTTTTGTTTGCCAAGGGGGCAGCCCAGGAATAATACTTTGAGTGTACAGACAAAAAATCAATGACGCTATAACTGTAAGTAATAAAATTTAATAATTCAAAATAATAACTGGTTAAGGACAGAAACATATTCTTCTAAATCAAAGAATAATGAACTGAATAAAACAATGAAGTTCAGTTAACTTATTTCACAATTCTTTTATGGCAATAATTCTTCGGACTTTTTCATGCTTTTACTTTTGCATTATTTTCCTAGTTGTAGTGAATCACAAATAATAATAATACTTTTTTCATATACTGATAGTTTGGAATCTAAGCACCTAAATTTTGTACCAAATAAATAAATAAAAACCACGCATAGTTACATTTCATAATTCTAATAATTGCAATACTTGCAATTTTGAAAGTTGTTACAATCAGTAAAAATTGCCGAGCAAAAGTCTGACAGCTAAACTGCCTGTCGTAAGATTTCCTCTGATGAATATCCAAAGGGCATTTAAAGTCCAAATCCAATCCAGGTACACATATTTCCTGTAGTGTTATACCTTATTGGTGCAAGGCCAAATCATTGGTACTGTACCTTGTATCACATGGGTATTCATAGAATAAATATGAACATTAACACTAACAATGATGCTAATACTGATAATATCAAAAGAAAGAAAGAAAGAAAAATAAGAAAGGAAAAAACATCTCTAGAAGTTCTTTTTTTTCAACCAGAAGTGGATATTTTTGTCCAAATTATAAATCAACCTACAATGAAACACTGAAACGACACAAATACTGGTGACTCAATTTTTAATGCATTCTTCCACCAAACTGCAGTCACCTCTGCAGAACAGGATCACTAATAGCATGCTTGGGGTCACATGTAAAGGACACTGTCACTGCATACCTAGTGCCTTTTGTGACTCTCTCTACATGATGCAGGTTCTCAGACCCAGAGGTAAAAGCAGAAACTCTCCCTGCAATAAAAGGAACCAATCAGATGACATCAGACTTAAAACTGTAATATAAAATATTGTAATGCAGAATATCAAGAAGCTATTCCCATGTTCAATTGGTAAGAGGGCTACATGAACAATCATTTGTATGCATAGCATAGAATGGCAAAGAAGTTGAAAATATATCCGAAATCTTTTACAACAGTACAATAATAACAAAACCTACAATCTCCCCTATACATTACATCTACTGCCAGCCCATTTATTTCCAAGTTAACCCAGTGCTGACGGGTAAAAAGGTTTGGCAAGTGGACAGAAGAATGGGATTTTTGGCCCGCATCGGCAGTTTCCTGTTTGCACCCGGCTCAATCAATAGTTTGCAAGCAAAATTTTGCACCTAAAAGCTTTTATTTTGCTATAATTTATAAAAATATTATAACTTTGCAGGTTTACCTTCATTATAGGTGCCATTGCCTAAAATCTTTACCATATAAATAAAACCACTATTATCAGAGAAAAAAAAAACTCCATCTGACGAGTCAGCGGCAAGGGAATGGGCATGATACGTTGCCATCCTTGTTTCAGTCCACAACAGTCATGGCATGTACGTACATGCCACCCATCGGCTACAAGTTAACACAAGAAGACTGCTAACAGATATCTACCTGAACGTGGTTCAACAGTTTTGTTGGAGTCCTTATCAATGAAGATGAACCGTCCACCCTCAAAGTCATAACTATAATCAGTCAGGTATAATAACGATGTGTAATGGAAGGACTCGTAAGTCTCCTAGAAAGAATAAAGAATAATGTTGATTAGCTTAGAAATAACAGTTGCTGAAAATATAAATTCAGTATGGCAAAACTGATAACATATGAAGAACAAATTAGTACAAAAGAATAAGCCAGTCATAATATGAATCAGTTCACAGATGTTCCAGTAAACCATGTGCTGCCAGGAAAATGTTGTGTTCACTATAGTATTGTTTTGTGAAATGTCTCTCACCTGATTTCACCTTTCCTTTGAGTTTTAGGGGAAAATGTTTTTCTCTAATAATCATA